TGTTTATTTTTGAAGTGAAAAATTGGTTCAGAGAATTTTTTGGATGCCCTTGCTATGTATGTTGGTGCTAGGTACTGTTCTAAATGGTTTACATTTATGAACTCTTTTAATTTTTACAACAGCCCCATGAAGTACCTACTATTACTTTTTTTTTTATGTTTGTTTAGTTTTGAGACAGTGAGCGGGGGAGGGGCAGAGACAGAGGGGGACAGAGGATCCAAAGCAGACTCTTTGCTGTCAGCGCAGAGCCCGATGCAGGGCTGGAACCCATGAACCACAAGACCCTGACCTGAGCTGAGGTCTGACACTTAACCAACTAAGCCACCCAGGCACCCTATCTACACTGATTACTTTTGCTCTACCAGTGGGGAAGCAGAGACACTTAGAGGTTAGGTAGCTTGCCCGTTGTCACACATCTGGTAAACAATGCAGTCAGGTGGTAGAATTGGGGCTCTTAAACATTAAGCTATTCAGCCTCCTGATACAGCTTTCGGACCAGGCTCTGTACTAGATTCTTTACTTTTATTGTCATTTATTCTAACAAGTCTATTATGGTTGAATATATATATATTTTTCATTTAATTGATGAGCTTCTAGTATATCTTCCATCACTCTGGTTATCACAGTCTACTGTTTTGTTTTGTTTTTTAATTTTTTAATCTTTATTTTATTTTTGAGAGAGAGAGAGCAGGGGAGGAACAGAGGGAGAAGGAGACACAGAATCTGAAGGAGGCTCCAGTCTCTGAGCTGTCAGCAGAAAGCCTGACACGGGGCTCAAACTCATAAACCGTGAGTTCATGATCTGAGCCAAAGTCAGACATTAAACCGACTGAGCCACCCAGGCACCCCTCACAGTCTCCTGTTTATGGGTGACATTTGGAGAATGGTTCTTCAGTAAAGAGAAATATTTTTGAAAAGAAGACACTAATTCCCTAAGAGTGTTTATTATTTCATGTGTTCATGCCGAAAACATTTAATTACCTTTTCAAGAGTCAGGTGGAAGAAATTAAGGGCTCAGATTCAAACACGAAGAAGACATGGTGTCTCCCTTGAGGTGGTTACAGAAAGGAAGTGAGACCAAAGTCAAAGCTGAGTGGTAAGCGCCATCACCAGGATTTGAACAGAGAGGTGGGTACACTGAGGCTGAGTGTGTACAGGAGTAGGCAAGGCCTCATGAAGGAGGAGGTGGTAGCCGGGCTGAAACTCAAAGGATGAGGAGGATTTTGCCAGGTCAAGAGGAGGCTGAGGCCTTCCAATCAAAGGCAACTGTACGTGCAAGAGAGCTGTGGAAAGGACTTAACTGAACGGTGGGCAGCTCAGTATGGAGGAGGCTGGAGGTAGCGGTTGGGGTGAGACAGATAGAAGGAGAGGGGAAGAGAGAGGACTCTGGTTGAAATGGTGGAACGGGGCTAGAAGGCAAAATAAAGGTTTGATTAACTAGATTCCCTGGGAAGGAACTCTGTTGCCTTTGGTTAAAAATCCCAGTTGCCTCTTTATTAAAGGAGGTGAGATGCAGCCTGTCTGTCAGTGATGGCACACTACTTTTACGGATGGCCTGTTCTACTTCATGTTTTAATAGCTCTGGTAAGAATGCTGGGAAAAGAGCTCTGGGGAGCAATACATAGTAATTGAGCCTGGTATAACTTGTGAGATATTGGCCTATCTAGATCAATCTAATAAGGTTTTATAGCTGGATGGAATCTAAAATATTAAATCTAATTTTCTCTCATTCTCTTTCTCTCTTTACCAGAGGAAGAAGGGGAGGCTGTGTAAGTTAAGTGGCTTGTGAAGCCCAGTATCTAGGGAGTGAAGCGGTGTAGAGAGCACAGTTTTTGAGTCAGGCAGAACTGAGGTCTAATCATGTCTTAGTAAATGTCACTTTCAGCAAGTGTCTTAACTTCTCTGAGCCTTACTTTCCTTTTCTGCGAAACAATGACATCTATTTCATAGGTAGCCCCCAGCATAGGGCTTATCACATAAGGTTCTATATACTCTCTTTGCCCTTCACCTTTCCTACAGCACAGGGTCATTGTGATAGAAATAAACAAGAGATAAGAAGTCAGAGAGAGGGGGAGGTCAGGTGCCACCTTAAGCAGGGCCTCTCAAGGTGCCAGAGTTGTAGTGAGGATCCCTACCCCTTCCACCTACTGGACTATCTGGGTTCAGACCCTGTAGGTCTGAAAAGTTGACACTATCAGAACTTCCAGAGTTGATTGGCTTACTGGGGAGAGATCCACACTAACAAAACACATATGAAATTTATGAATAGTCTCGGGTGCAAATTCATTAACTTCTGGTGATGTATCTTCTCATAACTGGCTCATGCCTTCTCAGTCTCATATTTTTATCTTGAAGTAGAATAATCAGAAAGTTGTTGAGCCCAGTATCTGAGCTAAGAGAGTTGAGCAGTCTTCAGAAATATTTCACCCCAGGGGCGCCTGGGTGGCTTAGTCGGTTAAGCATCCGACTTTCACTTAGGTCATGATCTCGCAGTTCATGGGTTCCAGCCCCGCGTCGGGCTCTGTGCTGACTGCCAGCTCAGAGCCTGGAGCCTGTTTCAGAGTCTGTGACTCCCTCTCTCTCTGACCCTCCCCTGCTCACGCTGTCTCTCTCTCTCCTAGAAATAAATAAAAACATTAAAAAAAAAAAAGAAATATTTCACCCCAGTTTTAAGAAAAGGCTGATGATTTCACAACAAGGACCCTTGGTTGTATACGTGTGTATATACGTGTGTGTGTGTGTGTGTGTGTGTGTGTGTATTCACAGTGCTGGAGAAACAACACATTCCTATTGTAATTGCCCTGTTTAGACTCTGTGTGGACCACATCTTTCTATTAACACATGCATCTTCTGAAATGATATAACTGATTGGGTTAGAATTGCCTTCAAGTACATTCTGCTATTGAAAAAGCACTCCCATCGCCTTTGATTGGACCTGGATGTTTCACATGTTTATACCAGCATTCTTACCAGAGGTAATCTCTTACAGATAGCTTACAATAACTTCCAGACTTAAGACTTCCTCTATTTTCTAGAAGCATCTCATGACAGAGTTCCTTGTACTAGTCACAATTATCTGAATACCCGTTGCCTGGTAGGTAGCATGTACTTGATAAACGTCCATTCAATAAAGGCGAGGATAAAGGAGAGAACATCAGAAATGGGCTCAAGGAACAAGATTTATGTCCTCATGGAATCCTCAGGAGGAGGTGCAAAATGGTGTGAGGAATGTAGAACCACCCAGGATGGGAGGCTGAGGAGGGAGAAACAACTTTCAAGATTTCTCTAGAAGGCAGTTGGAAGATTAGTAAAACAAGCCTTACAGGGCTGTTGCTGAAATCTAAGAGCGACGAGGAAGCAGACAGGAGCATGGATTAAAAACTGAAGAGATGCTACGGAAGTAGCGGGATATGCTGTTGGGATGCAGGCTGAGTGAAGATTCTAAGTGTAATTTGGAGAAAGAGCAAACAGAGGAGGTTGGGGTTGTTTGGGTAAGTTGGCGTCTGGATAGGTCAAATTGTTGGCACAAATGAGTTGAAGTACCCAGTAAGCAGTTTGGTGTAAGGGTCTGAGCTTCTAGAACAAATCTGGAGGACAGCTGAAAGCATGGACGTGGGAACCCCCCTCGGGAAGAGTGAACAACGGAGGGGGGTGTTGGGCACGGGGGCAGAGCCCAGATAGGCACGGGAATTCAGAGCTGGGTAGAGGGAAAGCAGCGGGATGGGCAAAGTCAGAAGACATTTTTAAAGCCTGCGGAGCAAGTTTCAAGGCGGTATCGGATGCCTCCTGGAGGTCCAGAGGAGGAAGACAGATCTGTTCCAGTCCTTGGTTACAGTGGATTTCGAGGAGCGGAGATGGCTGGGGGTGGGGCGAAGCCACAACGAAGGCCACGACTAAACTGCAGAGAAAGCCGGCGGCCTTAGTAATATACTCTTCTGGGAGTTAGGCTGTGAAGAGACAGAAAAGGCGGGACTTGGAGGGGAGCTTAAGGCTCAAAGGGATAACCGGCTTCAGAATCCCTACCCTTAGTGGGAGTAACTCTGCATCTGCTGGACGCTCCTCTGCAGGCCTTTTGGGTCCTTCTTAGAACTTCCCTTCTAGCTCTAAACTGGAGGGAAAAAAAAAAAAAACAACCCACAACAATCCTCTCCACCCCCTCCCCTTCGCACCTCGCCTTCTCTAAACTGAAAACAAAAATTGCCATTCAGTAAAACGTACAACAAAACAGTATTCTGTCCGAAGGCTTTCTTTAAAAATCCTGGCATGCAAACGAGGGGCTTTAATGTGACTCCCCGCGATTGGTAGGTACGTACGAAATCCGTCATTTCCTTGCAGTGCAGGATGCAAACGAAGAGTCTGCTTTCTGCTTTCCTATTGGCTGTTTGATTGGTCTACTTCCCTTCACCCCTCCCGGTAGCTCTTATAAATTACACCAAATTGGTTATCCTTTCCACTTCCTTCTCCTTGAATAAGAAGCTGTAGCTGCATTTTTGGCCGTAATGTCAGGACGCGGCAAGCAGGGGGGCAAGGCCCGCGCCAAGGCCAAGTCGCGCTCGTCCCGCGCCGGCCTGCAGTTCCCGGTGGGCCGAGTGCACCGCCTGCTGCGCAAGGGCAACTACGCCGAGCGGGTGGGGGCCGGCGCGCCGGTGTACCTGGCGGCCGTGCTGGAGTACCTGACGGCCGAGATCCTGGAGCTGGCGGGGAACGCGGCCCGAGACAACAAGAAGACGCGCATCATCCCTCGCCATTTGCAGCTGGCCGTGAGAAATGACGAAGAGCTCAACAAGTTACTCGGGGGTGTCACCATTGCCCAGGGCGGCGTCTTGCCCAATATCCAGGCCGTTTTGTTGCCCAAGAAAACGGAGAGTCACAAGCCTGGCAAGAACAAGTAATTAGGAAGCTTGAGACCATCCCCCTAACCCCAAAGGCTCTTTTAAGAGCCACCAAAGTGTCAACGGAGGGGCTGATCACGAAACAGCGCATTAGCTCTTTTTTTGAAAATTTGGGTGGCTCTAAAAAGAGCCTTTGATCTTTGGCTTGTCATGGTTTATTTGCTTTTGGCTTTGTGGCTTTCGGTTTTCTTTGGTAAGAGAACGGCCTGGATGTTGGGCAGCACGCCGCCCTGGGCGATGGTGACTTTGCCCAGCAGCTTGTTCAGTTCCTCGTCGTTGCGGATGGCCAGCTGCAGGTGGCGGGGGATGATGCGCGTCTTCTTGTTGTCTCGCGCCGCGTTGCCCGCCAGCTCCAGGATCTCGGCCGTCAGGTACTCCAGCACGGCCGCCATGTACACCGGCGCGCCGGCCCCCACCCGCTCGGCGTAGTTGCCCTTGCGCAGCAGGCGGTGCACTCGGCCCACCGGGAACTGCAGGCCGGCGCGGGACGAGCGCGACTTGGCCTTGGCGCGGGCCTTGCCCCCCTGCTTGCCGCGACCAGACATGACTCTAAGTGAGGCTAAAACACCCAAAGCTCAGAACCTCACAACAAAACAGGATTGAAATATCAGCGATTGAAAAGCCTTTATAAGCTTTGCTAGGGGTGGGGTCAGGAACCAGTTTTTCATTGGTCCTAAATTGGCTCCAGAACTGGCCAATAAGGCGAAGAGTAGGTGCCGTTACGTAGCTATTACTGATAACGCAAGTTCCCTGCAAAGCCCAATGGAAACGAAGGACTTTTGGAGCCCTAATTTGCATACGGTGGTTATAAAAGGGTCAGGCCCGCCCATTCTCGCACTTCTTTTCTTTGCTTACGCGGGAAGTCTACAATGCCTGAGCCGGCAAAATCCGCTCCTGCGCCCAAGAAGGGCTCGAAAAAGGCTGTCACCAAAGCCCAGAAGAAGGACGGCAAGAAGCGCAAGCGCAGCCGCAAGGAGAGTTACTCCATCTACGTGTACAAGGTGCTGAAGCAGGTGCACCCCGACACCGGCATCTCGTCCAAGGCCATGGGCATCATGAACTCGTTCGTCAACGACATCTTCGAGCGCATCGCCGGCGAGGCTTCCCGCCTGGCGCATTACAACAAGCGCTCCACCATCACGTCCCGGGAGATCCAGACGGCCGTGCGCCTGCTGCTGCCCGGCGAGCTGGCCAAGCACGCCGTGTCCGAGGGCACCAAGGCCGTCACCAAGTACACCAGCTCCAAGTGAGTCCCTGCCGGGACACGGCGCTCACACGAGTCGCCGGCCGCTTGACTCCAAAGGCTCTTTTCAGAGCCACCCACCTAATCACCAGAAAAGAGCTTTGTCACTAATTTTCCCTCTCTTCTCACAAAGTTCCTCCACTTGCAGAAGGTCGTGGAAAATGGCACACGTAGGATCTTAAGCCTTTCTTAAACTAGAGGCTCCTGGCGCGTGACTGGCTTTGCTTTTTAGTCTAGGGCGCGTCTTAAACTCTTAGCTGTGCTGCTTAGTTTTCTTACAAGTCCTTCCGATTTGAGATACTGGAGTATCTTCTCACCTTCCGTCCCTAGACCATTGTGTCCCGGTCGTTCTGCTGGGTGTATGTTTCATCGGTGTTTTAAAACGAAACTGAAATGATTTCGGTCATCCTCGTTAAAGAGTCCCAGGACAACTAAGCCCGGGTGCCGTGAATATTGCGTCAGAGCCCTGAAGAAATCTCCCGAGCGTTTGGCAGCTGCCTGGGTGCCCGTCACCAGTTCGTTCGGCCCCGCGGTGTGGCCTCCTGTGGATAGCAGCGGTCTGGGCGCGAAGGGTGGAGCCAGTGTCGCCGGGTCCTAGCCTTTCCCTGATTGGACAACATGAATATTCAAAATCACGCGCCGGCTTCGGAATTCGTAGATTCTGGTTTCCGCTTCTCGCTTTGGGGCTTTGAAATTCCTATTCTTTTTCGGTTTGTGGATCGTGTTTGCATTTAATTCTCTTCTCGGAACGCTCCGGCCTTAGGTCACTGCACGGCGCTAGGCATTTAGGTCTGGGCTCAAAAGTCACCTCTCGGATACCTTCCCAAGTCCCACTCAGGAATTTGCGCCTCTTGTTCCTGCCTGTCGTCCGGTCTCATGGTTTTCTCTTCCTCCTAGCCGCTGTCAGAAATTGGTGCGTTTCTTGACTATGGTCTTTGTCCTCAAGCCCTTAACAGATTTTGCTGGTCTGTTTTTCTGTATTGTCAGTGCCAGTCGGTGCCTGGCACATAGTGGGCGCTGAATTATTAGTATCTGCCGAATTAATTGTCCCACCCCATCCTTAATCGCTTCCGTGGATGGATGGGTGCTTGCTGTTCATTTCCATTAGATACATGCGAAGGCATGAAAATGGAAATGTTTTTGGAGCTCTTTGCCCGGGTTTGTTCGTGGTCACTTCAGGGCAAGATCTCTGAGGAGGCCCGGGTTAAGATTCTTTTTTGCTCCAAATAGGCGGCAATGGTTGGCTCTCCCTTTACGCTCCTTGGTGTAGGGGAACCTTTTTTGGATTTTCATTAAATTCAGAACATTGGTCACTGGAAGGATCCTCTCCCAGTCTCCTTTTCTGACACCCGTCACCGCCACCCTGAGCCTCTGTTCCCCACTTAATTTACACTTACCTTCTCATTTATCAGGAAGCCCTGAAAAAAAAAAAAATAGACCCTGTAAGACAGGCAAGATTAATAACCCTTTTAAAAGGAGGTTGAGAAGAGCAATGGGATTGGTTCCCTGGTCCTGCAGCTAACGTTTTCCACCTTTGTATCCTCAAATGCGCAGACAATTGCATTTTAGTTTTATTTTGTGTGATTATGGAATGTTCAGTGTTTCTGTCCAAGCCTTGATTTTGCTGATGAAGACACCGAAGGTCTGATAAGTTATTCAAGTCCGCTTTTGGCTAAGGGGTTCTGGAGTTGATCCTAAGGGTTTCATGGATCTAGATGGACTCCAGACATGATCATAAACTGAATCAATCTTATGTTTCCCACATGTGTGTTTTCAAGTGTGTGTAGATGCTATTGGATTAATAAAATTACCAATTATTGTAAAAGCTTGGCTGGATTCTTTTTATCTGCAATATGTTTTCTCATTAAATGAAGTTAACGGATACAACCATTGCTGGGTCTGTGGAAAAGGTAAATATTGATAAGCCATTGGCCAGACTTCTACCCAAGAGGTGCACTGGGACTGAAATAGCTCGTTATGAGGACACTGTTAATGTTTAGTCATTTAAAAAGACATGACCGCAGGGGCACCAGGGTGGCTGGGTCGGTTAAGTGTTCGACTTTGGCTCAGGTCATGATCTCATAGCTCTGGAGTTTGAGTCCCGTGTCCAGCTCTGTGCTGACAGCTCAGAGCCTGGAGCCTACTTTGGATTCTATCTCTCTCTCTCTCTGCCCATCTCCCTACCTCCCTCTCTCAAATATAAATACACATTTAAAAAAATTTTTTTAAAGACTTGACCACAAATAAGAAACATTATAAACAAGGTAGAAGAAATAAAGTCCTTAAGAAAGTTTAGCTGGGGCATCTGGGTGGCTCTGTCAGTTAAGCGTCCAACTTCAAGTCAGGTCATGATCTCCTGGTTCGTGGGTTTGAGCCCCGCATCGGGCTCTGTGCTGACAGCTAGCTCAGAGCCTGGAGCCTGTTTCAGATTCTGTATCTCCCTCTCTCTCTGACCCTCCCCTGCTCATGCTGTCACTCTCAGAAATAAATGAAACATTAAAAATTAAAAAAAAAAAAAAAGAAAGAAAGAAAGTTTAGCTAGCACCCTTATGCTGGATAATATTCTAGGCCCTTTATACATCTTGACCAATTTAATCTTCACAAGAACCTCATGAAATAGTTACCATTATTATCTCCCATTTTATAGATGAGGAAACTGAGGCACAGAAGGAGTTCTCAGGAACTCCAGAAACTACTAGTTCAGGGTGGAAGGCATTTGAGACAGTAAACTCAATCTCTGAAAACCTGGACCCCTCCTTGGGTTGTTTTTTTTTTGGGGGGGGGGGATTATCTGCGCTTTAAAATTAAAAGGAATTTCACCTGCTTTATTCGTTTCAGGACGTGCTCTGTATATAAATTTGTGGTGGTGGTGGTGGCTGAAATCCTTGGGGATGGGGAAATGCAGAGGCCATACCTCAACTTGCTTATCAGTTGGAATCCCTTCACTCATATGAGACAATCTTGGTTACTGGTTTCAGGCTCCTTCTGGGCCTGGGGTTTACCAGGAAGGCAACTGCAGAGTGGGGAAGGGGAAGAGGTGGTAGAATTTGAAATTTTAACTCCAGGGGGAGCTAATTAGTGATGGTGAGTTTGATCTTCCTAAAAAACCTTTTTCATCACTTTTTTTCCTGCTCCAACATCTGTTAGACATTCATTTGCTTATGTTGGGGTTAATAACAATAATTATTATAATAATTGCCTCTACTTATAGACCACTTAACTACTTCCCGGTCCTCTGCCTTGCCTCATCCCGTCTTCAGCGGCACTATTGAAGTAGGTTCCATTATTACCAGCCTTACTTTCTAGATAAAGGAAACAGCCTCCGAGAAGGTAAGTAACTTGTCCGGGATTGTTTAGGAAGTAAGTGGTGGAGGTGTAATCCAACACACAGTTTTAAAAAGCTTGATATTCAAAGCTTCCCAAAATCTGCCTCTTCCTCCTTCAATAGCTCTATCTCCTACTGCCCTCCTATAGGGTTAGGTGTGTTTTCTGCCCTTCTTAAAATGGTCTGTTCACCTTCCACTAAACCTATTTGCTCCTTCCCAGGTCTGGATTGGATTGCCTCTTCCTTCTGGGTTGGCCAGAGTTTTCTTTCAAGCCAAAGCCATACCTTCCAGCTCAAATGACACCTCTTCCTTCACTTCTCTATCACACCCACCTGTACTTGTAAAAAACCCACAATTTTACTGTGATATAACTGATATACAATAAACTGCACATGTTTAAAGTATAATTTGCTAAGTTTTGACATATGTACATATACGCCAGTGAAAACATCACAATTACTCAAAATAAATGAACATATCCATCACCCCACCCTGGAATTTCCTAGTGCTCTTTCATAATTCTTCCCTTTGCTTCCTTCCTCAGCGGCTTCCTTTGCCTCCATCCCTGCCCTCAGGCAACCACTGGTTTGCTTTAGGACATTATAGGTAGTTTGCATTTCTAGAATTTTATGTAAATGCAACCATGGATACACAATGTGTATCATTTGTTTGTTTTTAAGTGTTTTATTTATTTCTGAGAGAGAGAGAGATGGCGTGAGCAGAGGAGGGTCAGAGAGAGAGACACACACACAGAATCTGAAGCTGTCTCCAGGCTCTGAGCTAGCTGTCAGCACAGAGCCCGATGCGGGGCTCGAACCCACGAACCATGAGATCATGACCTGCGCTGAAATGGAAAGCTGGGATTCTCAACCGACTGAGTCACCCCAGGGTTCCTTTTCATTCATTGCTGCGTAAGATGCATGGCTTCCCCACAATTGTTAATCTGTTCACCTGTTAGATGGTTGGCTTATTTCCATTCTTTCATATTGTAATGTACTCCAATTTTGTGCCA